TTCCCACTCATAGCAACCCTGTATAGGGTTTCTGAGACTGTAAATCTTTACACAAGCAGAAAGCCTCTTCTTTCTCCCTAGGAAAGGCTGATAGATTTGAGTTGCTGAACTTATGGATAGCAACTACTAATGAGTTCTGATGTGTAGCTTCATGATTATGCACTGGACTGTAAGATTTGTTTGAAGTACAGTGGTGTCAGTTCAAATTCACCAGCCACTCCTAGGAAACCCTATACATCGTAGCTATGGGTTGGAACCAACTTGGTGGCATTTAACAACTAAATATACATATAGAAATTGTTGAAAAGTTCCTTTTTGTTATTGTTGTTAGGTGCTATGGAGTCAATACCAACTCCTAACAACCCTATGCACAGCAGAATGAAAAACTGCCTGATCCTGGGTCAAACTCACAATAATTTATATGTTTTAGCCCATTAAAGTTGCCCCTGTGCCAATCCATCTCTTTGGAGGACTTTCTGTTTTTCTCTCACCCTCCACTTTACCTAACATGATATCCTTCTCCAGTGACTGTCTTTCCAGACATTGTGTCCAAAGAGTAAAAGACAAAGTCTGGTCATCCTGGCTTCCACGGAGCACTCTGGCTGTATTTGTCTTTGGAAGTCCATGGTACTTTCAATATTCTCCTCCAACAACATAACTCAGATGCATCGATTCTTCCAAGGTCTTCCTTATTCACTGCCCAACGTTTGCACACATATGAGACTACTGAAAATATCATGAGTCAGGCACACTTAGTACTCAAAGTGACTTTGACCTTAAACACTTTAAAGAGGTTTGTGCAGCAGATTTGCCCTATGAAATACGTTGTTTGATTTTGTGATTGCTGCTTCCATGAGTGTTGATGGTTAATCCAAGCAAAATGAAGTCTTTGACAACTTCAATCTTCTCTCCACTTACATGGATGTTATTTATTGGTCCAGTGTTGAGGATTTTTGTTTTCTTTACATTGAGGTGCAACCCATACCAAAGTTTGTGGTCTTTGATCTTTATCAATAAGTAATATAAGTCCTCTTGGCTTTCACCAAGCAAGTTTGTATCATTTGCTTATTACAGATTGTTAATGAACCTTCTTCCAATTCTGATGCCACATTGTTCTTTATATAACCCAGATTCTTGAATTATTTGTTCAGCATACAGACTGAATAAGTATGATGAAAGAATACAATCCTGATGCACACCTTTCCTAATTTGAAATCATTTGGTGTTCCCTTGTTCTGTTCTAACAACTGTCTCTTGGTCTGTGTAGAGGTTCCTCATGAGCAAAATCAAGTGTTCCGGAATACTCATACTTCACAGTGTTGTTCACAGCTTGCCATAATCCACACAATTGAAAGCCTTTGCATAGTCAACAAATCATGGCAAACAGCTTTCTGGTATTCTCTGCTTTCAACCAAGATCCGTCTAATGTCAGCAATGATAGTCCTCATTTCATGTACTCTTCTGATCCATCTTGAACTTCTGGAATTTCAAGAATTGCATCATTTTCTGTATTACCTTTAGTAAAACTTTACACACATGGGATACCAATATTGCCCAATAATTTCTGCATTCCATTGGGTCACTTGTCTGTGGGCACAAATACAGATCTCTTCCAATCAGTCGGCCAGGTAGTTATCTTCCAAATTTTTTGGCATATATGAGTGAGTGCCTACAGTGCCACCTCACTTTGTAGAAAGATGCAATATGAATTCCATCAATACCCAGTACCTTATTCTTTGCTGATATCTTCAAGGCACATTGGACTTCTTCCTTCAGGGTCTTTGGCTCTTGATTATATGCAACCTCTTGAATTGGTTGAGCATTGACAATTTCCTTTTGGTACAGTGATTCTGTGTATTCCTTCCACACTCTTTTGATACTTTCTGCTTTGTTCAATAATTTGCAATGAGAATCCTTCTATAACGAATGTTGAGGCTTGAATGTTGTTTCCCAAGATTAAGAAATGCTGATTGTGTTCTTCCCTTTTGGTTTTTCAACTCCAGGTCATTTCACATTTTGTTATAATAGTT